AAACTCATTCCCCTGGATGGCCTTAGGAAGCTACGTCCGTTGCGTGCAAAAGTTGCTTAACATTTCCAGGAAAGGCCAGACTGGTGTAACCAGCCTTCTCCCACCTGGTACCCTCAGGTGTGTTAGACTGCAGCTCCGATCAACGCCAGCCAGACAGGCTGGAGAAGCCTGGAGCAACCAGTATGGAGCCAGAGATGGTCTGACTCAGTGTAAGTTAGACAAATAACCTCTGCTGACAATAAAACCTGAAGTGAAAACAATATAACCTGAATTATCTTCAGGACTGGGAAAAGGGTCCCAACATGATAGATAAGGTAGGCCCAGTTCTTTTTCGGAAACACTGCAGGCCTCCCAGTGTGATTTGTAACACAGAAATTTAATTTTCTTTGATACAGATATTGTCCGTATTGAGGAATGGTGCAATATAAAGCCACAAGTTCTATGGAACGAGCGGACCAGACACCTCAATAAACATGAGATAAAGGATGCATTTCTATCACAGTTAAAAGCTAATTTAGAGCTTTTAAAAGAATGGCCTCATCACACACCATCCTTTATCCATTCATCATTAATACAGAGAGACTGATCAGAATGTAAATGGATGCTTATTTCTCAAAGGAAATTAAAGGTATTGTTAGAGGGTATTTCCCACCTTTCTGTGGTGCTATCGTATTAATCTCTATTTAGGGTTTATCGGTATCCCAGGTTCTGCTCTTATTTCATTTATCCTATCCAGCTAGCATCATGTTATAGATGATACAGGCAGCCTTAAGCTCCAGCATCTGTTTCCATGGCAATGAGACTGCATCAGTAATCCAATGGATTTAGTTCAGGCCAGCTTTGGTCAGACTTCTTGCAGAGCAGATAAATCGTTAGCACTAATAGCAAATCAAATGATGTCACCAGAAACCACATACAAGGGCTGTGTACGCCAATTGAACCCAAGTATGCACCTTTTCCACACAATGTAAGATAGGAGTTTGATCTCATTACAGCTCTATATTAATACAAGGAGGTTACTGAGAATCACAGGGGTTTAGGATTAACCCAAGTAAAATTGAAACAGCCCTACAGTCAGGCAACAGAAGCATGTATGAACAGCTTGTTCTTGATAAACTATATTTTAAACACACACAAGAGCTTACTGTGCAAAAATCTGGTATTTTATGGTGTTTAGATGTCCTTCACTATTTCATTGGATGAAGTTGCCATTTATGTTTGTAAAAACAGAGGAACAAAGGGGGATACAGATTTGCATACAATTTGTATGAGTGCATTTATAAATGCAATTTAGGTACAATTTCTGTCACTTAAATAGAAATAATGCATCTCACCAGCGTGGGGAAGAATGTGACCTGGGCAGGGATGAATGAACAAGCAAGTGCTACATTTGCTCAGATTCTCCGGGCACCTCTGTGAAGCTCAGCTTCACTCTTTTCCTATGTTCATTTACTTTCTTTTCCCATTTTCTCTGAATGGCAAAAATATGCATTATAAACAGGCAAAATATGTACTTTCTCTCCATAAAGAAATATGGGAAAACACACATTTTCAAAATGCACCATTTTAAAATACGTATTTTTTCCAAGAAACAACAATTCAGTCCTTTGGAGCATTTTCAGGGAACAGTGTGTTGTGATCATAAATTAAATTCATGTATATCCCTAGATCTTTGGGCCAATTCCTCCGTCTGCTGTCCGAGTGCTCGCGGTTGATGGGCGATTTCTCAGGGTTCCTGCTCTCCTTCTTATCTACCTTTAAACCAGACCTGGACTGGATAGCTTGAGGAAAGGACATGGCAGCCCTTGAGAGATGCAGGCACCTTTCCTAGTATGACTCTACCTGTAACTACAGTTGACATCTACCACCCTTCTCTGACTGACATTTGGAAGAAGGCCTTCTCAGTGGTGGGGACCAAATGCGGGATGCTGAGGCCCGTGGGATACAAAGGTTAAGACTTTCCTCCACTCCTGAGCATTTCATGGTACATGATGGGCCCTTTTAATGTCAGTGAGATCTCTGAAGTTAACTGCTTTTAACCATCTCCAAAGAGAGAGCTAAGAGAGGGACAAACGACCTTCCCCAGATTAAAAGCTCACATACATCTCTTTTCTACCACACTTCTAGACCCCTGTTCATTAGAAGGAAAAACATTCCACTGAACCATAAACTGGAAATTAAAATAGGGTTCCAATGTCAAACATGCTTATTTGAAAGCAAACAGCATCGAAATCAGCAGTATTTATGATTATGTAAATAGACTGAAAACATGAATGAAAACTGTTTCTACTTCAGAAACCTAACATCTGAGAGAAAACTCACCCCGCATCTCCCCCGGAAATGCACCACATTTTCTTGCATCCCTTCCAGGTCGTGGTGCCAACATGAGTTAACAAGTTGGGGTAGAGAGAGTGTGTTTGTTTTAAGTTTATAAGCTATGGGGCTGAAAGATTATGAAGCATGTGTTGTTGTAATAGGTCTTTCATACTAGGCAAGAGCCCAACTGCCACGGTAATACACGATAACAGATTATAGGGGGTGAGTAACTTGTTTCCGATAGTAGTACCAAAGAAGAAAATATTCTCTTCCTCACTGTGCTAATTTTACACCTCAGAGGGACAATTACTTCTACGTAGTGGGAAAGATACCCCACAATCAAGAATTCAATGAGCTTCTTTCCCAGAGTAAATATCAGTATGCATTTGTCTTGGCAAGTAAAGATAGCTCATTAGCTGATTTCAAAGTGTATGTTCTTGTAAGTATTTTTAAGTGTATTGCTTTGTAATACTTTATGCTGGTATTTTGTCTGTATGAGGATCAGCAAGGGTCTGATGCTGGCAGGATGCATTCCAAATATAAAAACGAAATAATTGCACCCATTAACTGAGTAAAAGCTTTCAGCCTTAGCTAGGTTTCATTTTGTGGGTTTGTGCTCTCCATGTTGCCACATGGTGTTGGGAAGTCTATAATTATGCTTCCATCTTCAGGGGAATAAAGATGGGAAGGGGGGTGGAGGGTCATAACGGATATTAGCCATTTCCCTAAATCAAGGAAAGGCAACCCAGTGCTCTCTAGACGATTTGGACTACACCCTCCATCAATCTTAACTATTGGCCAAGTTAGCTAGGGCATATGAGAGTTACACTCCAAAATATAGGGAATGCAAATGTTTGCTTAGCTCCACCTTAATTTCGGGACAGCCACTCACAAGACATTATGGAAGGCGATAGCGGGGCCCTTTCTTGGTAGCAGCTATGCGTTTAGTACACAGCTAGCTTTGGCCCAAGGAATTATCTGGAGTTTGGTGCTGTCCAGAGAGTCATAGCAACAAAGAAAGCCCATGATACGTATTATCTCAGCTCAGAGACTTCCGACACTCTGAAGGGTGCACAAAAGGAGAAATGAACAATCAACAAGAAAAGCACATGCCCACAACATCCTACTGCAAGCCATGAGCAGAAAGTTACCAGACTAAATTCTCTAACAGGCATTAGCGTTGGGAAGGCACCTGATGGAAAATGTCGGTATCGACGGAGTTGAAAATCTAATAAAGGAAACCAACTCTAGTTCAGATCTGCTGATGTGCAAGCAAGTCCAAGGTACATTAAGTCCACTGATGTAATGTAAAATTAATACTAATTGATGGAGGCTGTTATGTGTTGTTGCCGAACAGCAAACCATGGAGTCGGCAGGCGGCCAAGGGAGTGAAAGCCGTGCAAAATGGGAACGGGGACAGCTGGGGGGAGGGGGTTGTGATAGATGCTTCAGAAGCCACAATTAATCCAGCATCAGCTTCCAAGCACTTTAAACCTCAGCAGGGGATTCCAGGGGAAGAAACGATGCCTGCACACACCTACTGGGGCAGGTACAGCAAAGAGCTGCAGACCAGAGGACCAATTCGATGTATCTTTATCGGAAAATCTCAGTGCATATTTATGGTATGCTATTTGAAATTAGAAACAGAACAGGACCATTGGCTCAAACCAAATTCAAGGACATGTTAACCATGAGCTGCTTCAAGGAAAGGTCCACAAGAAACCAGGCTGACATAAGCATTGCCTTTTTTGGTCAAAGCAAAACACATTAAAAACAACTTATTATCCCCAACAGTCGCTAGCCAGCTGTTTCTGAGGTCTCACAGATTTCTGGAACAGCAGCTCACTGTGACTATTTGGTTATTTATTTATGTCTTAATTCATGCATTCAGTTTATGAATCATCCTGCAGCCAAAATTCCAAAACTGATGCATTGAGCAACAGCAAAATAATAGAATGAAATCAGTAAAACCCAGTTAAATACACTGCAAACTGGAGCCTCTGAAGATGATCTCACAGAACAGGCAGGCAAGTATGGAAAGAAGCCGTCCTTTAGATACTGTGGCATGGAGGGGGGGGTGGGGGGAGGAGACAAACACCTGAAGGATTGACATGGCTTGTTTCATCATCTGCCAGCCAAGCCTTGGGCAGGGTAACACACCACGAATTAAACAAATCACAGGTTAGGTGTGATGTGTGACCCAGATCAACAGGTGGGAAAAGAAAGACGGTTCCACCTGCGTACTTCCACCTCTTTTCCCTAGCTGAAGGGGCTTTAATTTTCAAAATAAGGGTTCTGTTATTAATGCAAGTATAATGAGAAGCCAGCCCTTGCCAGTAACTTACTTTACAGATAGTCACCAGCTACACATCTCATCGCCAGAAAAAAAGAACCTGGAACCAAATCCAACTCGGAAGAAAGATTCCTCACACAAGGAACCTTTCACTGCAGGCAGTGTTCCAAGTCAGACCCGGCTGATGAGTTGCTCTCCCCTTCACTTCCTCCTTCTCTACAGGTTTGAGAGTCAGCTGTTACATTTTTCATAGCTAATGTTCTTCTTCCACTCCTTGTATGACTTTACACTTTAAATATGAAAGACAAAAAAGTCAGGTCATTTTACTTATCTTGTACTTCTTGTTCTTGTGGGGCAGCTCGTGAACGTGTGTCTGTGTGTATATACCAACCTGTATCATGTACAGCTGGGCAATCCTATACTCATCCACACTCATCGGTAGAGGAATCCGATACTCCTTTATAAGCATCTTGAAATCCCTTTGGTCTGGGTCAGAAATGTAAGCCAAAGGTATTTATTGGAGGTTGCTTAAATACCAGTAAGCTCATGTATTGATGCCCCTGAAATAAAAAACAGAAGCAGAGATGTATTTAATGCTGTGCTTCCTTGCTTCCTTTCGTGAATTAAATTATGATCTGAATAACTCCACATGAGAACTGTAGCCCAGAACAACAGACTCCACCCACCCCCATAAGTCACAAGACCAGACCCAACAAACACAAGGGGGACCCAGCCCTGACAGGGATCTCGGATAGATCCTAAAATATGTCCTTCACAAACCGGACACAGAGAGAGGGGGGATTAACCCTCACCAGCTCTTAGTTGTGATGCAGGAAGTCTCTGCTTTCAAGTGGGTAGGAGATTGTGAGACCAATGCACCTCATGTGAAAGCCACTGGAACATCAGACCAAGACTGGTACCCATAAAGCTCACTGGGTGAACTTGGGGCACTCATTCTCTCGAGCCTCAGAGCTGTCGGGAGGAGCAACCACACGCAACATTTGGAGCACTTTTCAGAGAATGCAGAATACAAATGTAAAACGCATGAAACATGTGCCTTCCACAGCTGGAACTGTGTTATGCCAATGGAGCAAAGAACATTCACCAAAGGCTCAGAACACTCAGAATTTCAGCTTGCTTTCCTTAAAGACAAGTTTCTAGCTCTTATGGATATGAATGGAAACCTCAAGATATGCAGAAACTCCTAAGGAGGTATTGCAAGGAGTGGTGTACAGTGTGTTGCAGGACTCTTAACAACTGTACCACATTGGCTCTCGCTGGACCTGAACCTAGAATGCCTCAATGAGAGACAATATAATGGTTGTCAAGCTTTCCAGAATTAAGACCCAGAATCACCCATCAACCTGATGCAGCACCATCCCAGCTTATGTGGGGTGATGGAGAGATCTGGCTGGCTTGGCTGTCCTCCCATGTGATCTGTGTGTGCCCCAGAACTGCTCCCATAATCCTGTGCAAAGCAGGATGGGGTTCTCTGTCCCACAAGTGGGAAATGGCTCCCCAGAGGCAGCAAGATTAAAAGTGCTGCTTCAGGCTGAATTCTCAAAAGCCACGCTTGGCCGCAGCAGCGGGATCTTGCCATACAAACAGGATGAGAATCAGCATTGCTGCTTCAATGAACTTCGCAAGTTTATCCATAAATGCTTTTCCACGCAACTCTTCTATAGCTCAAGGGTGAAAATGCTAACATGAAAGATGAAAGCTTTTATCACAGTGCTCTACCCAACTATTACAAACACTTTCTCAAAGAGGTGACCTGCTGGGGCAAAGGAGGGGCACGTTTTGTGTGTCCATCTCAGCAGCTTCTTGGGACTTGAGGGATCCGGGTTCCTACCCCCACTCATGAAACTCTTTGGATAACTTTGGGTCAGTCATAGACTCTCAGATTAACCTATCTTACAGAGTTGTTAGGGGGTTAAATGAGGAGGAGGAGGAACACGTCAGCCATCTTGGGTTCTTCAGAGGAAAAGGCAAAATATAAATATAATAAAAATTAAAATTCTACTCATGTCTATTTTCATAATACTTTGCAGAATGTACAGGTGACCAGGTCATTTATCAAACTCATACATCTACAACGACTAACTTCGAAATTGTTGAAGAATCTGGTGTCTCTTTCTGAGCCCCGTATGAAGAATGACTAGTTTATCTGCCTCTTCACCAATTACAGAGCAATTCGTACCTCAGCAATAAGTCTCTTTAAGTCCTCCAGATGGAGTCTACTCCCAGTTAATAGCAAAGGTCACTACACAGCATCTCTGCTGGCCCTAAGAAAGTATCAGATTCTCAGCTAAAAGTCTGGAAAATCTTTCAGACCTTGTAGCTGGAGATCTGTGTCCTGGATTCACCTCCTCCCACTTCCAGTCGGCATGGAACTAACTGTGCCAGCTGCTTTTCTGAGGTCATAACTGTGCCCTTGAAGAAGGCGTTTTTGGGGTGTTCCAGAGGGCAAAGAGTAGCAGAAAGTGTCACTACCACAATGAGACATCTTGCAATCTCCTAGTCTCCAAGGCATGGGACTCAGACACCAGAAACCAAGGGATTTGCAAAGTGAGATGAATGCAAAGGTGACATTTGCATCTTCATTTCTCCATCCTTCCATAGGATGTCCGTAATCCTCTAAGTTCAAAGATATAAAGTTGTGTCCACCGTCTTGCACCACAGCGCTACCTTAATTAAGAACATGTTGCATCAAGTTTTATGGTCATGGTGGTCCTTTGTTTTTAATCTGAAAATTATAAGCCACCCAGAAACCTTACTGTTGTTGTTCTAGGGTGACAGAAAGATGTTGCGAGCAAATCGATAAATACATACCTTTTCCTATTACTGGATTCTTAATACAAGTGTCTTCCATGGGATATAAATGCTATCAAATACTAAGAAAAATTCATAAACAAAAGCTACCACTTGGACAGAAGAGATTGCTACCTTTCAATATTTGTATTACTACAATATTTTTATTCTTCCCTACAGCAAGACAATAGAGCCAAAATGTCTCAAAACACAAACTGCTGTGCCTTTAACTTTTATCAATTAAAATCTGGCTTTCATCAGTTCACACTGACTCCCACTGCTGGGTAATTACCAAATGTTTCAGTTGATTAACCTATCATTAAACCAACTCAAGCCAAAAGTGGTACCAATTTCACAGTGCCCTAGAACTGCGCAGCTGGAGCCCTGAATAAGCTTTCCTCAGAACTTCCCCTCTGCATCCAGTAGCAATAACAAGAGAAATTCACATTTGACTTAAATGAGTTCAAATTTCGAAGAACCTGACGCAAGGACATGGGCTTTTCTAGAGTTGCATGGGCTCTCTAAACTTATTGATCCCTTAAAAAAATAGTAATTTTACACAAATTTATTCACAGAAAAACAGAAAAATAAACCTCCTCTAAATAACTTATCCATTTTCTCCACAGGCTAAATAATGAAAATATATATAGGTGGTGAGGGGTGGAATTCGTATATTTTCAAAAGTGCAAACTGCACAAGCATGACTTTGCAGAAATGTGTCCAAATGGACTTGTGCAAAATCCTATTCTACCAGTGAGCAGACCACAAAACACAGCTCCCGCAGAATCTGCAAAATTCAAGTGGAGTCGACTGCACAACATCCATATATCCCAAGCTTTCTGCCACATTTGCAATAGGAGCCATAAAAGAAGCCAAGGAAAAATAATGCATCTATATTGAAAGGCTGCATACTAGCTTCAAGGTTAATCCCATCAGCCCCAAAAGGATATCATACCCCTCAAAGTGACAAGTCAGTAATGGAGTGTGCCCCCTTGGGAGTGGAATGCTCTTTTCTGTTTTTCTTCCTCTCTCCTCTGCCCCATTTGTTTCTGCACCCTTGCCAAGCGCTACATTGTGGTAAAGGATCAAATCCTCTGTGTGTTTGTTCCCACAAGTAGCATCTGATGATATGACTGAGCAAAATAACCCTCCTTTTAGGGCACTAAGATTGACAGGTCTATGTGAGAGCAACCGATGTCTTCTCCAAAATGTTATTCTAAGCATTTTTTAAAAGTCACCCTGTGTGCAGATCAGAATAACCTGCATTTGTTAAATGTTCAGTTAATACTTCTTATATTTCCTGCTGCCTGTCCAGTGCAGGAAAGGTCTGGAGGTTCATTTGTCATAATCTGAGATGCAACTGAGCTGAAGAACTGCCTGTAGAAACTTTGCCCCATAATCCAAGATCAGCACCGGCTGGAATCGATGACTCCGCAGCAAGATAAATGCACCCTGCACATGCTCAGAGAAAAGCTTTATAGTTTCTTCATTTGTTTAGGAGATGAGGTCTACTTAAAAAAGAAGACAAGGACAATCGCTATGCAGTCAATAAATAAATGAAAATAAATCTCAATGTCACGGAAGGGTTGGACACTGCAGAGGCTGGAGAACTTGAAAATTGTGCTCTCTCTCCAATTACACAGGACAGTAACAAGAAATGCCCAATTCCAGCTGGATACAACTAAGCCCTGCATTTTGAGAAAGAGTCTGTTCTCAGTAAAATGCTGAATAGTATTTTATCATTTATGTCTACAGTAACATCAATAGGGGGTGATAGCATTTTACAGAATACTGGCCACTGCCCCAGGGAGCTTAAAATCTAAAGTTTTAGACAGGGAAAAACAGAGGAAGGAAAAGGGCAGGGGCAATCAGGAAAAGGGTATGTGATGCTGCAATTAAATGTACTTAGGTGTACTTAAGGTGCAATCCTAAGCATCTAAACATATATAGGACTGAGACAGGAAAGGAGAAGACATGGGCTCTGAGGCATTGGAAGGAAATCAGAGTAGGGAGTCTTGTTTTGTTGGTTTTGGAAGAGACTTTTCCATGTTACAGTTGCATGTTTATGGACTATTGCAAAGATTTAGAGTGGTTGTTTCCCACATTAGAGTCCACTTCTTCATTAGAGTCCATGAATAAATTCAAACAAACACCAGGAGGTGTCGAGCAGCTGTCTCTCAGGGGTCATCTGGCCGTAAATCTGAGTCCACAAAAATCTTTATGAAGTGAAAACTGAGGTGGGAAAGGTCCCTTCCTACTTTTTCTCTGAACTGCTCACTTTACCATTTTCAAGGTGCAAGAGGAAACACAAAGTGATCATCCACCTTAGGCTCAAAGGGTCAAGGCCCAAGGGTTTTTTTTATTTGATTCCTTCTGTGCCAATATTCAGCCCTACAAAGCCCCCCCACACATAAAAATACAAACGAAATGTAATACAAGCCAAGCCCAGAATAGACCATGTCAGCATAAATCAGCAAACCGTTCTACCAGCGTTATAAACACCCGGCTCCTTAAAGTCACTACAACAATGCCTCAAAGACTAAATCAGTGGTGAGGTTTGCAAAAGTTCTTGACAGGTTCCCTTTTTATCATGTTCCACCTTCCGTGGAGAGACAAAACCTGATGATGGACTGGTGCCCGCTAGACCTGGCCAACGAGCCCATGAGGACAGGCCTCGTCTCCACGGGGAGCACCATTTTCAGTGGCATCCCATAGCAACCATAACAGAGCCTCCAAGTATTTTTCATTT